CAAAAAAAAAAAAAAAAAAAGATTAGAATTTTTTGAGAATAATTTAAATAAAGGCACAGATTTAAAAACAGTTTGGGATACAAGTAAAGCTTTTATTAGAGTTACTTTATTCAATATAATATGGAATTGAAAAAAAAGCACCATTTTTTATTTCTAATATAATTCAGATTTTTGTGGTTGCTTTAAAATACGATTGCATTTGCCAGTTTTGCATTGTCATCAGTACATAACAAATGGAACAAGACCATCTCGTAAATGTCATGTATGTATTTGCGTTAAAGTGAGACCGATGAGCAGGCATCAGGCGGTAGCGATTCGGGTGACTGGATATTCACAATCCGGGAAAAGGATCCCAAGAATCTGGAGAATGGAGCAACCCAACTCCACGAGTGGGAAAGAAACAAGGTATCTTACTATTACAAATATGGCAGGACGTGAATGTTGTAATATTTTAAACAGGAGTGCCAATATTTGGATTGCTGCCTTAATCTTGAGGACCTAATTCTGTGCACGTTGAAAACTCAAATGTGAAACACATAGGCTGCTTACAAGACTATTCTGTTTCTTTGAGACTATTAATGGTTTCTCAGCAGTGGTGGACTGCTGCAGAGCAGTGCAAAATGTGTCAGTTTGTTGCATTATCCATTGTTTGCCCTTATATGTTCTCTATCCTGCAAACTGGGAAGCCTGCCCAGCGATCATTTTACTTGGAACCCAACTGAAAGTGCAGCAGTGCCTGAGATCCAAAGAACTGGGAGCCTGATTATGTGCTCCAGCAGTCTCCCAAATGTCATGAGTCCAGTGTGTCTCCAGCTCTGTTTTTGCAATCCCTAAAGCAATGTTTTTCAAACTCGGCAACTTTAAGATGCGCGGACTTCAACTCCCAGAATTCCCCAGCCAGCTTTGAAAAACACTGCTCTAAAGCATCCTTAGGTTGCTGCTACTGTCGTTCAGCAGCAAAGCCTCTCCCTCCCCCAAGATTATGTTGAAAAGTTGGCAGAAGTTTTCAGCAGCAGTATTTTTCTCTTTTTGAGGGCAAAATAAAGGTTACCCGTTTATCCTCCTCAAATTCCACCCGACCCCCTCTCCCCAATCGGATGGCATTGTTGGTCATGCTTACTCTGCTGAAACTCCCACTTGGTTTAGAACAATGGACCACCCATTCCAGTGAAAAGCTGTAGATGAGGTTCAAAGGGATCCCTGATTAAGCATTTGAAGAGCTGTTGAAGAGCCATTGTTGGAGAGAAAAACCAGCAGTCGTACAGTCAGTGTGCGCACCTCTGTTCTTGTATTCCCTTCTCTTATTTTGTTTCTCTTTCTCGCTGAATTCCAGAGTTCCATCAGATTCCTATTCCATCTATTTTGCTAGATTTAGTTTTTCATTTAGGATTTGAATGTGTTGTTCAGTACTAACATGTTCTTTGCCAAGCACATAATTTGGTTACTCGATACATGTCGATTATCTTTTTTGTAGTATAATAACTTGATCAGCAATTATCCAGGCAATCTGGCTTCTTACCAGTCTTTATATTCTGTTTTAACTAACTTGCAATGCATGTATCTTTTCGTTTTTCTATATAAGGAAAATACCATTCAAAGGCGCCCTGCATCTCGATGTTTATCTACAATTATATCACCATTATTCACAGAGGTAAATTATGATTGGATTAATCATTTCTTCTCCCATTTAGAGATTGTATGGAAAGGATAGAGAGAATATGGGAAAACTAATGCAGTCAGAGTTGTTCTTATAAGAGTATCTTTCAAGCATTTTTTAAAGAGAAGTTGTTCAGTTATAATGATGGCATTTTGATTGCTTCAAAACGGTCAGTACTTACCTTATTTTAGAGCAACTGGGAATCTTGGATGGGGGGGTGGTTGTTTAAGGCCATTCATATTAGTGACTCCATGACTACCTCCACCAAGAGTTTAAGGTGGGGGAAATGTACACTAATCTTGGCATGGCGGTTGTCATAGCAAAATCCTGACAAGTGCCACGTGTTGGAGTGACATTTATTTGTTTCAGTTTATTTACTTATTTTAATGTATATAGCTACCCACTCAAACAATTCTGGGCAGCAAAGAAATGAAAATAATTAAGATCCAGGAAAAAAATAGATAATACAAAAGAGCATATAGACACACACACACTTGTAGTGCTGGGGTCAAAATTAATTTTGCATAAATATCAACACATTGATGGTCCATGCAACCTCCTGGCCCAGTGCCCAAGGGAAGAGCCACGGCCTTTCTAAACACCAGCAGAGTCAGAACCATCCAGATCTCGGAGCAACAGTGCACTTCCTAGATCCTGCCTGATGGCACTGTTTAATAGATGGAATCCAGAGCATGGCAACCCAAACTTGTTGGGTGGCGAGCAACAATTGGGGTTAGACAGTCCATCAAATATCCTGGTTCTGTACCATGAAGGGGCTTATGCACTGATAACCAGTACCTTATATTACAGCCAGAAATCTACTGTAACAAGTGTTATATGGCATACTGTGCCTATAACTACCTGCACCGCTGCACTCTGGATCAGCTGTAGCTTACAAGTGATCTTCAGAGGGAGTCCCATCTAGAATGCCTTGTAGTAATCCAATGAGGAAGTCACGAAGGCATGAGTGACCAATACCTAAGCCTCCCAATTGAGGCGTGGTTGCCACAGGCATGTAAGATGGATTTATGCAAAAGCCCTTTCAGCCACAGCTGCCACCTGCTCCAGAAGCAGGAGCTGCAAGACCAGGAGAATCCCCAGATTGTACACCATGTCTGACTGGGGCAGTGCAGGCCCCTCCACAAATAAGGGTGGAAGATCTCCATGATCTAGTAGTACTAAAACATGCAGCCACTGAGACTTGCTAGCCTGAGCCTGTTTCTCTCCATCCATACCCCCACAGCCTCTAAACAAGGAGATGGAACCTTGACGACATTACCTGAGTGAACAGGAGCTGAGTTATACCACTATGTCACCAGATGACCTCCCTCATCAGCCTTCTGTAGATGTTAAATAGGAGAGAGGGGCTGTCAAGCTCTGTATATCCCTTAAGCAGGGGGCTAGGGCTAGACTTCTCACACACCAGCCCTGATTGGAACTGGCCCTGAAGGAAGGAGGAGAACCACCTTCCTTTCCATGGCTTTAAGGTCAATTGAGAGCAGGGTGGGTGGACAAACCGGCAGCTTTGCTCTCAAAGCAGGGTGCAGCAGCCATGAGAGAACTTGGCTTGCCTGCCTTTGTGATGCCACAAGAGGGATAGAAACTCCCAGTGAAGGAGGACGCCGGCCATCTTTGTTATGCAAATGTAAAGCTGTTCCACATAGACTTAACTGGGCATTTAATGCTGCAGTTCCTACTTTGCTGTTTCTTAAACTGTTATTTATGCTGAGTCTTCGGCATCAGTAAGATCTTTTATTAAAAGGCAGTAAAAAATGTCTTTCTTCTGCTTACACAAGAGGAAATTCACTGCTGCATAATAAAGGCAGTTTCAAATATTAGTAGGATTTTAAATGTAGCGTGAATGATTAGGTGTAATAAAACTTCCCCCCCCCATCACATTTCCTCACTTCTGTCACTTCCCTCTACTTTTGAAAGGGATTTCTAATGTAGGGAAGAAGGAGCAAGAGAGGTAGTTGTGCTCAAAATAACGGAAATGGTCCTGTTGTGTTAGCAGTGTACCATCTGGATTATGGCTCTTATGTAAATTGACAAATGGTTGCCAATTTAAAGCTCATTTCCTTCCCGAAGTTCCATAGAAAATGTGTATTTTCTAATTTGCATTTATTTAATGCTATATTCAGACTTTGTGAAATGGTTTTGGTGTATCCTGTATGTTTCCCCACTATCTGTAGACCTAAAATAGAGAGCTCTGTTTATTTTTTTACCCATGTACATTTATTTTGCAGACATGTTTCAAATGCTTAGAACTAATCCCCTTCTGATTTTTAGCTGAAAGAGAGAAGTCAAGCTTGTGGGGGGAATATGGGCTCCATAGAAGAACTGAGAGAGGCTATTTATTTAGCTGAAGAAGCTTGCCCAGGAATTTCAGATACAATGGTGACCGAGCTAGTGCAGCGGCTTCAGAGGTAATAATTAATAATATGTAACGTTTCTTTTGGACACAGAGTTATTATGCACGTTTCCTATCCTTATTATTCCTATTAAAATCATTGGAGCTATTTTTTTGTCTTTCTTCAGAGGTAATAATTAATAATATGTAACGTTTCTTTTGGACACAGAGTTATTATGCACGTTTCCTATCCTTATTATTCCTATTAAAATCATTGGAGCTATTTTTTTGTCTTTGTACTTATGCACTTCCTATTAAGGTACATAGAATACCTTAATTGGGCATCATGAACACAAAATGACTTGCAACGTACTAGCATTATTTTTTTGTTAGAGTGCATGTGAAAAAATGATGGTGGCGATGATAATATTCTAAATATTTTAGAATATTTAGAATTCTTATTACTGAACCAAAAGTAACAATACCAATTTAAAAGCAGTTTGGATGCATCAATCTAAATTTTTATTGGACTGTTCCTATTGGACCATGGTCAATATTACTTCTTTTGGAATGGGGTTATTAGCAGTTATTTTACTGATGGAAATATTTGTCTTTTTGTTTTGATGTTGGTAGAGTTAAGCTAGCATCTCTGCTGAAGGCCATAGTCCCTTCCAAAATAGCCAATCTTTTTGAAAGATGAAATGTTTTTTTCTATCTCAATTTCAGCTAATATAAAATCAGAAAAAATGTGCTAAATTCATACAGTTCTTTGATAGCAAAAGTCATTTTATATTTGTATGCATGCACTGGCCATTGATACTGCATAACTAGAAAATCAGTAATCTTTTTTAAAACCTATGAGAACGGTACCTTTGGGGATCTGGTTCCCAACCTTAAATCTTGCTCAAAACTCTTCCTTAAGTACGTGAACATGTTTTTTCTAAAATATTGCAACTGAGATACTTATTTTTATTGCCTGTGTAAAACATTTTGTTCATTATTTGTGTTTTAACAATGTGCTTTTTCCCATCCCAGGTATTCAGTAGCTGGAGGGAGCACATCATCCCACTGAAGTATGATTTTGTGACCTTTGCTATTTCACTGAGGTTCCTGTAGGCACCTGTTCTAATGTTGGTCTTCCACAATTGGCAAGCAATGATAAGGACATTCCTGAAGGTGCAGCAACAGAAAAGGGTATTTTAGCAAGGGTATTGTTTTTCAACTCTGTACAGGTTTTTTTTTTTAATAATGCACATATTCAAAGGAGGTATCTTTATACATTTCTGAGATGTAAATTTAGGATTGCAGTTAGGAACTAAAGCTATTGTGAAATCTCAGGTATCTTGTGTTAAGTCATTGGCCTTCAGCTCATGGATCTGGATCCATAAGTGGGTGGCATTTCAACCTGAAATATGGGCACTAGCGGCACTGCCACCATTTTGTTTTAAGGTTTTGTTTTAAGAAAGAAATGGAAGTCTGGAATTGAGTCCCATGTTCCACGTTTACATTTAACATGGATTTGGGGTCTGAAAGAGTTGAAGGCAACTGCTTTAAGTCAAAGAATCTGTGAATTGGATGTATTATTGGCTCTGTGTACAAATTTGTATATAATCACTTTTTTACTGAATTTGCTTGACATGCATACGGAATTCCTCTGTACAAATTGCCAAGTGCTTCTGTAGATGATACTAGTGAGGTAAATATTTTGACAGATAGATCAACTTATTATAGGCTCGTCTTTGTTTATATGAAAATTTTAAATTGTATTATAGCAGGTTTTGCTTGACCTTTGTTTACAGGTCAGAAATAATTAAAGCCGTGCTATAAAAATCTGGTTTATACCTCAGATGCAGGTTTTTTTTTCTTATTTTGTTACACAGTAGCATTTTTTGTTTCTAATCATGGTACGAATTTGATTATTTTAATTTAGTACATCATATTCTTTGGAGTTCTCTAGTTTTGCTTATCTTCATGGTTTTACATCTGTTTAAAATTGTGCCAATCCAAAGTTTAAATTTGTTTTTAATAGTTTTGTTTTGGAATTAAATGGTAAAATCTTAACATATAACTAAATTATAGGCATTTTTCTTTTGAGATGCTTCCTAGAAATCCTGGATGAATAATGGCAGTTTTGTAAAATGCTGGTCGTAAAGAGGATTAAGAAGATGTGAACAACTTTAATTACAATCATTGAGATTAAAATTTGGTTTTAGTTTAGTATCTGAAATTCATTGTGGGGGGGAATGGAGATATATGAAATTTCATTAAGATCTAAAATAGCAAACTGCAGTCTCACTTTTAATAGGTAAGAACTAGTACAGTATAACACTTGTCTATTGTTAATCTTAAATAAATATATGATAGAAATCCCATCTGAATTTTTATTTTCAAGAGGTATTTGGAAAAGAATGGAATAAAAATGTAGTTAAAAGTCTGAGGATGTGATTACTCAAGAATTTTACAAGGGGCTTGCTGTTTGTTCATTTACAATAAATTAATGTTTTCAGTATTATTACACTGTTTTGATTTCAACATGAAACCTATATTGTAATCTTAAAAAAAATAAACACATTAACACTAAAAACCAACTTGCTGTAGAAGATTTAACCCTGTGACCAAGCCTTGAGTAAGAATTTCCTTTCTGTTTTGAGAAAAACCTAGAAATGGATTAAGGAATAGGTACATTGTGTCAGTGGAAATGAACTCAATGAATTTTTCGAACCTGCAATATCCCCTTACCAATTTAGAGATTGAACAAAGTGTTAATATCTTACTGCCTTGTGTGAGTCAGACATGTTGCCATCCTTTTAGAGCGGGTGTGATGTTAACTGGATGGACTTTGTGTCAGTCTCTACCCCAGTGTTTACACTCTGTGAAATGGTAGTGTAATGTAGGCTGCGCATTGAATTGGAATAGGATGGGTGAGAGACCAGCTCCCCTCTTGAGTTTTCAGCTAAGTTTGTATGCAGTCCAAGATCTAGTAGCTGTTTAAGAATTTTGATTGCAAGAATGTTGACTGCAAGATTTTCTAAATGGAAACCAAAAAACCTCAATGGCTTGGCTCTTTAGAATCAATAAATTAACATTTTGCCATGTTATACAAATATGGCTTTTCCAACAGTTTATTTTAAACCAGTTAAAAGATTACTATTTAGCTAGTTTGTTGCTTGATCCTGTGCAGTTTATTTAAAATCAGTTTAAGTGACTCAATCCCATATAAATTGTAAATATGCATAGAATTTCAAAATAACATGTTTGATCCAAAGGATGAAGCAACTTGGTGAAAGCAAATTGCCTTTGCATTAGATGGTAATCAAATTTAAACTCTAAAATACAGGTAGTCTCCAGCTAAGAATGCCCAGGTTACAGATGACCTATAGTTAAGAACAGAGCCTATTGTAGCAAAATTCGAGTTAAATACACAATGATTTGAGTTAAATACACAGTGGTTCAAGTTCATTACCCAATATTACTTATACAGTATTATACAATAATACTGTTCTGGCTTACATACAAATTCGATTTAAGGACAGACCTTGGGAACAGAACTA